GATCACCCTGGGGCCTCCAGTCCTCAGAGCTCTGTTCAGAGCCTGGCTAGGGAGGAGGCAGTGATCTGAAAGACACCCCAGGCCCACACCCCGGCCCCCTGGATCTCCCAGGCCCAGGAGACTCTAAAATTAGCGTCTAACAAAGGCCTTACCCTGCACGGCCCATGGAGCCTTTGGCAGGGAGGTCTCTTCAGGGGGGTTCCCTCTCATGCTGGTCTGGCTGCAGGAGAGAGTGAGGTTCAGGGCCTGCTCGACAGGACCCAGATGGGAGGGCAGGGGGTGGGGGCCAGGAGAGGCACCCAGGCAGCGCTCTTCAGAGTCTCCGGTGCAGTGGGACCAGGACCACAGTGGCTAGAGGGCAGGGTAGAGCCTCCAGGAAGGGCCAGGCAACTAACATTCAGACACAGAGCCTGGTACATCCCCGGCAGTGGTGCCACATCGCACCTACATGACCATGGACAAGCTAGTATTCCCCTACACCTGTTTCTTCCTCTGTAAAATCAGGAAGACTAAGTCAAAGCTGGCAGGGAGCTGTGGGTACTAAATGATCACTAGATCCATAATTTCAGGCTGATGACTGGGTGCAACTGTGCTAGCACCACTACCTCCTCCCACACCCTTGCCTGTCCCACCCCCATGCTACACCTATCCCGCCTCTCTCCTACACTGGTCTGCCCTCCACCAATGGGGGACTGGCAGAGCCTTGAGATTAAGGATCCAGGTGACTCCTTTGAGGAGTAACACATTTGAATGCATTAGTTCCGGTCTTCTTCTTAGAAAAACAAATAAATAAGGGGTGCCTGGCTGGCTCAGTAGGAAGAGTATGCAACTCTTGACCTTGGGGCTGTGAGTTTCAGCCCAACTTGGGTGTAGAAATTACTTAAATAAAACTTAAAAAAAAAAAACACCACAAAGTAATAATAATTCCTTCAGGTAAACAAAGACATGGTCACACAGATGTTTGCTACTACATTATTTATAACAATGATAATTTCATAGCACCCTGAAGGGGACTAGTTGAGTTAGCATCCTACCACAAAATGGAAGATCATATGGCCACTATAAATTATAATGGAGCTCTGTATTTATCAGCATTTCCATGGCAATAAATGTTGAGTGGTGGGAAAACACAGGTTATGAGAAAATCATGTATAGATGATCCCATAGGACACAGAGCTGTGTGTGTATATAGCTAGGTATGGTTTCCTGATCAGTAGCAATAGCATCACCTAAGAGCTTGTTAGAAATATAGACTGGGGCCCACCTCGGGCTTTGAGGAATCAGAATTTAACAAAATCCCCAGGTGGTTCATGTGCAGGTTACAGCTGGAAAGCAATAAAGGCATTGTCTGGAGAGTTTCCCAGTAAAATATTAGGGAATGGTTATGTCTGGGGGGGGGCGGGGTGGGATTGGGATTTTCTTTCCTTCCTGTGCTTTTCTGAACGTTAGCATTTTTCCCCAGTAAACGTGATAAAAACAATAAAGTTATTAAAATGCTTGTAAAGATACAAGATCCAAAACTATAAAACTCATAGAAAAAAATACAGGTAAAAAGCTTTGTGACACTGGACTTAGCAATTATGTCTTTGATATGGCAACAAAAGCAAAAATAGGATAAATGGGACTATATCAAAATTGAAAACTTTTGTGCATCAAAGGATACAGTCAAGAGAGTGAAAAGGCAACCTATGGAATGAAAAAATATATACAAACGTGATAAGGAGTTAATATCCAGAATATATAAAAACTCCTACAACTCAACAAAAATCAAATAACCTGACTAAAAAAAAATGGACAAAGAATATAAACAAATATTTCTCTGAAGAAGATATACAAATGGAGAACAGGTATGTGAAAAGATATTCAGCATCACTAATCACTAGGGAAATGCACATCAAAACCATGATGAAATACCACCCCATACCCATTAAGATCATTACTATCAAAATGCAGAAAATAACATGTTGGTGAGGATGTGGAAAAACTGAAAGTTCTCCAGGTGCGGCCATTCGCCCTTCCTGGCTGGGATACACAGAAAGGAGTCTCCTAACAGCCTCCTGGGAAGCTCCGGACATAAGTTCCCAGGACATAGGTTCATGCAGCTCACTTCCCAGGGGACACCACCCCCTAATCATAGGACAGAGCCCTCATGCATAAGTGTGTAAGACAGCCAGAGACCAGAACTCCCCTGGGATTGTTGCAGGGCTGGAGGCCACAGTTCCCAGACCTCAGTGGAGTCTCCTGGGTTAAAGGGCCATATTGCCCATTTCTTTCTTTTTTTTTTTTTTTTAACATTTATTTATTTTTGAGAGACAGAGCATGAGTAGGGGGATGCAGAGAGAGGGAGACACAGAATCTGAAGCAGGCTCCAAGTTCAGCGCTGTCAGCAGAGACGCGGAGGTCGAACCCACCAACTGTCAGATCATGACCTAAGCCAAAGTCAGACGTTCAACCAACTGAGCCATGCAGGTGCCCCCCATATTGCCCATTTCAAAAAAAATGCCTCTTCCAAGGTTGGGACAGGGACAGCCACCAGACAGTACTGCCTGGGAGGTGGGGTGGGGTGGAATGGGTAACTTCAGCTTCCAAAGACATTTTGCAGACTTCCAGAAGGAAAGAGCTATAGGACGCCTAACTGCCCTGAACCCTCAACTGAGGCAGAAGAGGAGACCACCCACTCTGGGATGAGAACCCCAGAACCCAGCACCCCAACTTTTAGGCCAGGCTCCCCCACACTGAGCCTATCCTAAGAATTCCACTGTGTGCATTTATTTATTTGGGGTACCATTAAAGCCTTTGAGATGGGGTGGAATGCTGGGTCCATATCAGGCCTCTAATACCATCCCCTAAAGCTGCCAGAAAGGCATCCCCAACCCTGCTTAAAACCCCACATCACTGAGATAAAGTCCAAATTCCCACTTGACCTTCAAAATTTGGTCCCCGCTGACTCCTCTCACCTCCTAACCCACTCTCCCAGTCCTGCAGCCTCCTGAACTGCCCCCTACCCCACCTCCTGCCCCAAATTCAGCTTTCTCCCATTTCTGCCTAATAGACTTTTCTTCCTTCTTAAGCAGGGAGCTGTCCCAGTCCCAGTCACCTCTGCTCCTGTGAGACGAGTTGTGTGCCTGTTTCACATGCATGGAACTTGTCTTATGCATCTCACCCCAGTTTCCAGCACCATGGCCACCTAGCCCAATAAACGACTGCTGACCAAGAAAATTAGCACATGAGTCTTCTGCCTGTCTTTTATGGCTAATTCTGGTATCTTCCCAAAAGCTCTGGAGCATGGGTTTGACCTTCCACATTAACGGACCCCTATGTGCCAAACACCTTACCTATGTTTTCTCATGTAATTCTATGGCAAAGGCATTAACATTTTGATTTTATAGATGAAGACACTGATGCTCAGAAGTCCAATGACTGTCCACAGCCAGGATTGGAACCCAGCCTGACCAGCCTGTGCTTATTCCACTGAGCCTCATAGGTGGCCTCCCAATAACTTACTAGACTAGAGAACAGAAGGTGTGCCCCTAGACTTCTGGGGAATTCTCCGCTCTGTCCAGGGATCCTGTAAACCTGCACTTTGACAAAGGTGGCTGGGAGATGGAAGGGTGACATCTAGATCAGGTGGCAGGAGGAGACCAAGAGTCTGGGGATCCTTCAGAAAGAGGTTCACCTGACCTGCTGTCCTCTGACATACAGCCCTCCAGCCTCAGCAAAGATAGGGGCCTAAGTCAATAAAATCCTGTAGCAGGGGAGAAGACTTTCACTCCAGTTACAGTGGGGCTGGGTAAGAGGGAGTCAAGAAGATGCCCTTGAGAGGACTTTCTCAATTCTGCCCAGCTAGTATAATGACCCAGGGAAAGCCCCAGGCTTGAAGAGTCTTCCAAGGGTGCTTAATAAGTGCCAGACATTGTGCCAAGTGCCTTAAAAATCCTGTATCACCAAGAAGTTTTATAATCTCTATTTTGCATGAGAACTAATTGAGGCACAATTATTAAGTGAGAGTTCAAGGTCAGGCAGCTATGCATACACACCCAGGCTTGCCTGCTTTCAAAGGTCAAGTCTTAACCACTATGCAGACTGCCTCCTTCCTGCAAAATCCTCAGAGAAAACAAGTTCCTCACCCACCCCCTCATACCATCATGGTTCTGGAAATTAGGAATTAGTCACATAATTCTTGAGTGAGCTGACCTGCATATGTAACATGAACTGAGCTACAAAAATGTTCTTGCCATTGCCCCCAGTATTCATTCTTGATGGAGAATAAACTCCAAGAAGGGGGGGGGGGGGGCGGGAATCTAAAAAAAAAAAAAAAACAGAAAAAGTTATTTTCACAGGATTACCCATAAAAGTCAAAATACTAATTGCAAAACACCTGGAAGCAACCCAACTTCACAAATGAGGGGCAAAGGCTGCCTATGCTGGGATGGGTTTGTTAATGTAGCGAATACCACATACCTTTAAAATGACATACCTTTAAAATGACAAGTAGTTAGTTGGTTTTTGCAAATTTAAAATAAATGCAAAGAATAAAAGAACTCATTTTCATTTCAGAATACCATCCAAACGAGGAAGGCTCACTCATGCCATTTTTCCCCTTTCTTTTAAATCAATTAATTTTTGATAAGGTAATTCACACACATAATTTATGCATGGTACATAAAAATCTAAAGACCTAGAGCAATATGCACTGGAGCAGACCCCAGTAACCCACAACCACTTAAAAATGTGGCTCTGTTGATTTACAAAACTCAGAAGCGAACAGAGAGAAGTAACTTGCTTTATGGTTATTTGGATCTTTTTTCCTGCAAGTCTAAAGAAATACAGAGCAGAGAATTCACACCATTTCAGAGAAACAGTTCACAGCTTTTTGGCTGGGACTTTTTCAAGTCTTTCTCAAATCCCTCTTGCTGTGATCTGTGAAAGCAGCAGCAGCTAAGTTGAGGTGAAGTCAGAAAAAGAAAACCACGTGAGAAAAAAAATGAATGCCTTCTTACCTGTTCACCCAGGAGGACGCGGTCTTCTCGGGCTTTGCTGATTTTAAGGGGCTCGAGAGTAGGAGCAAGTGCCTAGGAGCAGGAGGCAGAGGGTGCCAGGTGAGAGGGTGCTGCTTCCCCCAGCCCACAATCCGGCTTCCTGACTGATGGGAAGGGCGGGGAAAGCAGGCCACTGCCGCTCCTCGCTCGCTCCCGATTGAGAAACTGAAGCCAGCAAGGGCGGGGCAGGGCCACGTGTCCCCAGCCTGCCTTGGGAGTGCGGATAGGAGGGGGCCACAAACCCAGAGGAACAGCCAGGAACTGTTTCCTGACTGACGGCGCCTGGCATATTAATGGCAGGAGTCCCCACATCAAGTTTTGGCTCCCAGGAGGGTTGGGCCTGCCCCAGCTCCTCTCCAGAACACATTTACTCTGATTAAAAAAAAAAAAAAAAAAAAAAAAAAAAACCTCTTCTTACAAAACTTAGTAAAACTGGGTGATGTGGTAGTGACTGGAGTGCACGTGTACGCAGAAGCAACAAACAGAGGGAGAAAAGGCCTTTGATAAATATCACCAGTGTTGAGAACTAATCAATTACCCAGTCTACAGATGGGAGATATGAGCCCAGAGAGATGAAGTATCTAACCTAAGATCACACAGCTAGGGCTTCCCGACACAACTGTTCTGGTGTAACTCATGGTAGTACACACAGCACAGGGAGCTCCTGAGGACACAGAAGTGAAGCCCTTTACTCAGCCCCATCTCCAAGAATAAGGGTACTTTCACTTTGCCTGAGTCAGACCGAAAGCGGAGAATGGCTCTGCCCAGCAGAATTCTGTGGGCACCAGTGGGGCAGCTCCATCTCCACCTAGTTTTCACAGCCAGCTCCCTGATTTAGTAGTTAGGGGTGGGGCAACCCCCCAAGGGATCCTTTAGCTCCTCCACCAGTGGACATTACAAGCAGGAATCGGGACAGGGGAAAGGACTGTGTTCAAAGCATCAAACTATCCAAGACAATAATTTGTAGTTTCTCTCAACGTGAGCACAGAATCTTTATTAAGGGGCCCCTTAACATCTAGGATTCCATAGCATCTCATTTGAGAAGTGCTACCCTAAAAGATGTTAGTATGTCTTATTCTGAACGTCAATGCCTGGTACGAGTAGCTGTTCAAATGATTTCTCAATTGGGTTGACAAAACTGGATTCCTGGTTTGGCCCTGAACTTCCAGCAGGACAAGGCCCATACTGGAATGCACTTGGCTAATTACCCACCTTCATCCCTAACGCTATGGCTACTCTGACCATACCCTCTACAAGGCCTTGGCAGAACTATGCCAAGTTGATTCATACCAGTCAGGTGGCCTGCTGGGAGGGCAGGACAGAGTGGAGATGATGGGGTCTAGCCACAGGACCTCACTCAAGCCTCATAGAAGCCTGAATTAACTCCACTGTGCCCTCTCTGGGATTCCTTGGCTTGGAATGATGTCCCTTCCTTTCAAAGCATTGCACATAAGACTGTAGTTCAAGATGGAGATGGCTCTAGGCTCCCCAGGCTTCAAGACCCAAGTTCAGTGGCCATGCCTCCTCAGATCCCCTGGAAGCTCAGCAAAAGCACTTTGCTATTACCATAACCCCTGAAGGTTGGTTTTATTATACTTTACAGACAGGAAACTGAGACCATGCTCAGAGACTGGTGAACCCAGGTCACAGGACTCTGTTTAGGCCTCTTTCTCTAGCCTTTACTCCTGACCTCCTGCTTGGCGTTTGGCAGGCAGGATCTTGATTCTGCTTTCCATGGTGAAGTGGCCTTTCTCTAGCTGCAGCATCAGCTCCTTAAAGGTTAGAGGTTCCCCAGCCTGCCTTGTGTTTAACAGCACTAGGCCCTGATAACCCACAGTAAATGTTGATGCTTCTCTTGACCATCATGTCTTTTTATGGCCTCAAATTATTAAATGTGTGAAAACTCTTCCCAAATGAGCTAATTCAAAGCAACTCCCATTCACTGAGATTTTGTTTGCTATCAGAAGAAGGAACACGTTCTGCTGGGTAGGCCTGCAAACTGAAAAATGTGAGGACCAGGCTTTAGAAGGCAGAGTTACAGGTAGGGAACAGAGATGGATTTGCCTCTGGGATTACGACAAAACCCACTGGGTATTAACAGATTCTGGATTTGGGGGGTGAAGGTGGGGTTGGGTGGTGCTAACAGGAGCCTCGAGCTACTTCAAATTCAGTCTCCCAGCCTTTTGTACCCAAACTGGAATTTACAATCTTGGTCTATTTATTTATTTGGCTTCATGTTGAACAGGAAACAATGTTCCCTCACTACCCACCAAACCTAATGATTTCCACGTCTGATGACCACCAGACTGTGAAATATACAGTTGCCTAGATAACAGCAGAGATTAAGAGGTTCATGAGTTTGAGCCCTGCGTTCAGGCTCTGTGCTGACAGCTGAGCCTGGAGCCTGCTTCAGATTCTGTGTCTCCCTCTCTCTGTCCTTCTCCTGCTCACACAGTCTCTCTCTCAAAAATAAACATTTAAAAAAAAAAATTTTTTTTTTTTTTTAATCTGGGGGTAAAATCCAGCAACCTATTCTGACGAATTCAGATGATGCTAATACAGGTTTCCTTCTGTTTCTGTACCAGAAATGTTTGGCTGCCCACCCTCCACCTCCTCATTTTTCAGAGTTGGGATCTTCTGACTTTTCCCAGAAGTCGCAAGGCTATGCCTATTTTATCTGAGGAGACCAGAGACAGAGACCGAAGCTCTTCAGAAACTTGTCACAAGGCTCTTTGGCAAACTCACCAAAACTGACAGGTTATAAAAACTCGTCAACTTCTGGGTACAGAGCAGACCTGCAAAGAGGTGGCACGTAGTAGGTGCTTGGTAAATACTGGTGGAATAAATAAATTTATAGCAGTATCTTACAGTGAGTTGGCTGTGTCTTTTTTTTGGTCATGTCTTCTGATGCTGGTTTTCAAGCTTGTACAGAAACAGCTGGCCATGCGCTTATGGATTGGTGAAGAGGACTCTTCTGACTGCTCTGTAGTACGTACCTGTGGATTTCAGTTCACTCAACTTCACATAAACCCCACACACTGGGCTATCAGATCACCACATGTAAATCAGCCACTGACCACAGATGTTCACTGACCTCCCTACCACGTAACCAAGAGTAAGCCATCTGGCCCTCACCTGTTAATTTTTTTGGATAAGGTTTGACTTCAGCAGCAGAGACGGTTCTTCTGAGCTCTTGATATAGCCCTTGAATGTATTTTAAAGGTACAATAAACAAAATATTCACACACAATATTCCATATGCAAATGAGCAAGTAGATGACTCAGGCAAACACATGTCATTTCTACTTTAAATAGAAACAGAATATATAAATATTTTTTTAAAAATTGAAAGCCAAGTTGATCACATCTGAAGAATGCTCCCAACATTTCTGGCTTCCCACTGATGAGAAACTCAAGAGAGGCTGCATCACGGGAGCAACACACATTCTGGTGACCAGCACTCTCCCCATGAGAGAAGTGAACTCCAACAGCCTTTCCCAGCCACAGCAGTCTTGCTAGCAATACATTCAAAAAAACCAAGAAAAGCAACATTCCAGCCATAGTCCAATTTGAACCCCCTCCCCCCAAGGAATGCTATTCTTGGCAAGAGATCTTCCAAAGGAAACAACATCTGCAGAACCCCTACCCGTGAGGTCAGGGAAAGATGAGGCAGCTGAAAACTTTTCAGTCTTTCTTAGACTCAAGTTACAGGGACTTAACAGAGCAGCAAGATGAGAGTGATCCTAGTACCTAAGGGCAAATGCCTCAGGGTCCTGACATTATCCCTTCGGAACTGCATGGCAGACTCTGATGTATTTTGCAAGGCTACACACAGAGGTCCCCATTTACCTGGCTGCTCAGTTAAATCAAAAGAGTTCATTAGCCCCCCCCTTAATACCTACATAGATGGGATTTGTAATTTAACCTCATCCCATCACCAAGTATTTATTAAACACATTTTGTACATTCTGGAGCAACAGCTATGAACTAGACAAAATTCCTGAGCTCAACATATTCAAGCCTAATTCCTTGTGCCTGTGATCCAGAAATTCTGCTTGCAGACAACAAGCAAATTTATGGATAGGCAAAGGAAACTCAATGGTGACAACTCCTGGATATAACACCTAACCCACAAGCAACAAAACAAAAAATAAGTGAGACTACATCAAATTAAAAAGCATCTGCACAGAAAGAAAAAATCAACAAAGTAAAAAGACAACCAAAAGGATGGGAAAAATTATTTGCAAACCATGTTATCTACATAAGGGGTTAGCATCCAAAATATATAAAGAACTCATACAACTCAACAGCAAACAAATAATCCAATTAAAGCACGGGCAAAAAGATACATGCACCTCTACTGTTTTCTGCAGCATTATTTACAGTAACCAAGATACAGATGCAAGCCAAACATCCATTAACAGATGAATGATAAAGATGTGGTATATGTATACTATGGAATATTACTCAGCCATAAACAAAAATTAAATCTTGCCATTTGCAACAATGTGGATAGACCTAGAGAGTATAATGCTAAGTGAAATAAGTCCATCAGAGAAAGGCAAATACCATGACTTCATTCACATGTAAGAAACAACTAAACAAAGAAAAAAAAGAGACCAAAAAAACTCTTAAATACAGAGAATAACTGGTGGTTGCCAGAGGGGAGGGGAATAGGAGGGTGGGTGATAAAAAGAGGATCAAGAGTACACTTATCTTGACAAGCACTGAATAATGTATAGAATTTCTGAATCATTATGTTGTACACCTGACATTAATGAACACTATATATTAATCATACTTCAATTTTTAAAAATAGGCAAAGGAACTTAATAGACATTTCCCAATGTAGATATATTATGGATAGACTGCCAACAGACACATGAAGAGATGCTCAACATCACTAGTCATTAGGCAAATGCCTATCAAAACTACAATGAGGTATCACCTCAAGCCTTTAAAATGGCCATCATCAAAAAGACAAGATAACAAATGCCAGAAAGAATGTAGAGAAAAGGAAACCTTTGTGTACTGTTGGTAGGATTGTAAACTGGTACAGCCACTATGGAAAACAGTATGGAGAATCCTCAGAAAATTGAAAATAGACCTGCCCTATGATCCAGAAATTCCACTTCTGGGAATACATCCAAAGGAAACGAAAACACTAAGTCAAAAAGGTATCTGCA